TTAGTGTCAGTTTCTTCACCAACTGCAAATATAGTGGTCCCTAACAAAAGCTGAAACTGATTTGATTTCTTTTGAATTTAATGTTCTAGTTCATGTAGCAATCTTTGGAAATGTGCAGAGCAGTATTTGGGAGCCAGCCTGTTTGTCCTGTGATTCAGCAGGTGGCAGTATTTACTAAGTGAATGGCCTTAGAAGTTAACAGTTGAGACTAGTGTTTAGATGGCAGACCAAAGAGAAGGGGAAACTTGCCATGCATTTGTGGTCTTCCTCCTGGTATAAAGGGTGGAGGGGAGAAGTGCTGCATTTCCCCACTTCTGAAGTTAAAAGCTACCAACGTAGGTTTTTTGTCTGGGCATACTGTAGTGTTTTTATACTTGATTTTTGCAATAGAAATATGGTTATGGGTTGATAAGCCATTGTCAAAGTCCTGCTTTTTTTTGGACCAAGCTATTCATTAGTGCCTAACTGAAAGCATGTTAGGCAATATAATGAGATGTCATGAGAAAGTACAACAAATTCCGCATATTTAATATTAGATATTTTGTTATAGTATTAATTCACTATGTCAACTATTTCAACATGAAGAGTGGCCAGTTAAATTGGACTCAGAAAAGTATCTTGAAGTAGGGCAATTTCTATGGGTAAGATGAGAATTCAAATGCACATAGAAAATCCTGGACACCCAACTTAATTATAATGCAAATAAAGGGATAACCACTTGACTTTAGTCCTGATAAAAACAATGCTCTGATCAATGAAATTGAGAGGACAAAGAGGTGGATTTGACTACTTCAGAGCTGATAGGTCAAATGTCCATTGTCCATTAAACATTCTTAGCATTTACTGATTATCTCATTCAAGTTGTGGTAAAACACGGCTGCACATCTAAGATTTTGGAGAATACTGTAGACTTTGACTTGAGCAAGCCATTCCCTGCCCTCTCCTCGCCTGACATTCTATTTTGTAAGTAAATTGCATATCTCTATTTCTTCCACACAGGTGGAAGAACATGTCGAATTGCATCGGCAATTTACAATATCAAACACTGTGTTCAGATTCTCAGTTATACTGCAGTGCTTCTATTTACTTTTCAGTGGTGGCTTCTGGTGGATATAAAGACAGAACCTCGAGCTAGAAACTCAATCTTGAAGTAACTGTACATGTTCTGATGACATTCATTTCCTGTGTTCCAAGGACATTTTCACTTGAAATGGTTGAAAAACAACAATTGCTGGGTACCAAGTCCTAGCTCAGATGGAGATTTTAAGGAAACTCCAAGCAGTTAAGAGAAACTCCCTTATGACTATCTGAATTTATCAAGTTCTACTACCTCCTTAGTATTCAAACTGTATATTTCAGCAGGTGGCAGCACCTGGCTATCTTGGCAGAGGTTTGAAAATAAGCAGGAAGTGTCCTCATTAACACTTAGATCTTCCAGGAATCCCAGGGTTATAAGGAAATTGAAATAAGGCAGTGGCAAACCACTTTTGAACTCTTGGCAAGAGAATTACATATATTAAATTTTAGTTACAGTGTTTAAGAAACTTAAACTTTTCCATTTGTTTTTAAGTGTTACATAATGGTATACAGCAGATTCATAAATCACAACAAAGGAAAGTTTTTATTCACAATTCTTTGCCTAAAACTGGCAAAGTAAAATTCAGGATAAGACCGAATAATGCATTATATAGGCTATTCAGTGAATCAGTCTTCTACCATTAGTGACTACTATTCATGTGAGATTACTTTTAATATGTTACATATGTTTTTGGTTGTCTCAGTATGGTTTGTTATTTTAACCATCAGCTACCATCCAAATGGCCCTGAATGTACTTAAAATTGGTCCTGAGTTCTTGCCACCACAGTATCCCACAATCACAAGGTTCTAGTTTCTGCCAAGTCAATGGAGAAGTCAGCAGAGATCCCAAACGATGGGCATGTGACATCCTCACTTAACCTAGAGTGATTTGCTTGATGGCAACCTGGAATGCCTGAATGTTAAATTACTAAGTGGTGCAGTCATCTGGTACCACACTTTATGACCTAGGTTGCTTACAGCAATTCAGGTCCCATTAACAGAGGACTACTGTGTCTTAAAAAGGTGGACAAACTCTCAAGGCTAAGACTCAGCTGAATTTTGGGTCCATGGAGAAAAAGGTGTTTGAGGGCACATCACAGTCCCTGAATCCAACCACAATGTGGTTTTCCCAGTTTTCCCAAGAGTGTGCAGTTGTCCTCCGAAGCTGCACCACTTTTCTAAAGCAAATGTGTTGAATTTAAAGAACTGCAGACAGAAGCCACATACCCACTTCTGTATCTTTCTGCCTTTGAATCTGAAGCCCAGCACAATTCTCCATGTTTGCTCATGACCTCCACTACCCTACCACCAATTGCCTGATTTACCAATGGTGCAATCACTAGCAAGTTCTTGAAAAACCTTTGCTGCGAGGGCCAATGATTACCCTATTTTCTTAGCATAGAAGCGGCAGTACCAAATACCCTGGTTTCTGTATGACAAGGGATTATGGTAATTGGACCTTTCAAGAAACTATCCCTTCTTTGATATCTCACAACGCCTTCTCAGAAGAGAAATTAGAATTTTATTATGCTGTTGTCACTTTTCATTTCAATTCCATTTTCATATGAAACTATACATGTAAAATTTCTAGCTGTGCTTTAGGGATTTGTTTTTTAAATGCTGTTTGATTTAAAAGTTGAAAAAAGATAATTCAAACACTTAAAACATCATATTTCATAAATAATACTGGAGTAACCTTCATATCATAGGGTTTTTTACCATCATTTGTAGACAAACCAGAGTAACTTCATTTATATATCATGCAATTATCATTGGTAGAGCTATATCACGTAACATTGAAAATAATACAGGTGAAACTCATAAAATTAGAATATGTACAAAAGTTCATTGATTTCAGTAATGCAACTTAAAAGGTGAAACTAATATATGAGATAGACTCATTACATGCAAAGCAAGATAGCTCAAGCCGTGATGGGTCATAACTGTGGTGATTATGGCTTACAGCTCAGGAAAACCCCAAATCCACAATCTCAGAAAATTAGGATATTACATGCAATCAATAAAACAAGGATTGTACATAGAACAATATCGGACCTCTGAAAAGTATAAGCATGCATATGTAGTCAGTACTTGGTTTGGGCCCCTTTTGCAGCAATTACTGCCTCAATGCAGCATGGCATGGAAGCTATCAGCCTGTGGCACTGCTGAGGTGTTATGGAAAACAAGGATGCTTCAATAGCAGCCTTCAGCTCTTCTGCATTGGTCGTCTCATGTCTCTCATCCTTCTCTTGGCAATGCCCCATAGATTCTCTATGGGGTTCAGGTCAGGCGAATTTGCTGGCCAATCAAGCACAGTAATCCCACGGTTATTGAACCAGGTTTTGGTGCTTTTGGCAGTGTGGGCAAGTGCCAAGTCCTGCTGGAAAATGAAGTCAGCATCCCCATAAAGGTCATCTGCAGAAGGAAGCATGAAGTGCTCCAAAATCTCCTGGTAAACGGCTGTGTTGACCCTGGACTTAATGAAGCACAGTGGACCAATACCAGCAGATGAAATGGCTTCCCAAATCAACAGACTGTGGAAACTTCACACTGGACTTCAAGCATCTTGCAGTGTGTGCCTCTCCATTCTTCCTCCAGACTCTGGGTCCTTGGTTTCCAAATGAGATGCGAAAGTTGCTCTCATCAGAAAAGAGGACTTTGGACCACTGAGCAAGAGACCAGGTCTGTTTTTCTTTAGCCCAGGTAAGATGCTTCTGATGTTGTTTGTTGTTCAGGAGCTACTTGACAAGACAAGAGGAATACAACATTTGAAGCCCATGTCCAGGATCCGTCTATGTGTGGTGGCTCTTGATGCACTGACTCCAGCCTCAGTCCACTTCTTGTGAAAGTCCCCAACACTTTTGAATGGCCTTTTCCTGACAATCCTCCCCAGGCTGTGGTCATCCCTGCTGCTTGTGCACCTTTTTCTTCCACACTTTTCCCTTCCACATAACTTACTATTAATGTGCTTTGATACAATACTTTGGGAACATCCAACTTCTTTTGCAATTACCTTTTGAGGCTTTCCCTCCTTATGGAGGGTGTCAATGATGGTTTTCTGCACATCTGTCAGGTCAGCAGTCTTTCCCATGATTGTGATTCCTACTGAACCAGACTGAGAGACCATTTAAAGGCTCAGGAACCCTTTGCAGGTGTTATGGCTTAATTAGCTGATTAGAGTGGGACACTTTGAGCCTAGAATATTGAACCTTTTCACAATATTCTAAATTTCTGAGATTGTGGATTTGGGGTTTTCATGAGCTGTAAGCCATAATCATCTCAATTATGCCACATCACAGCTTGAACTATCTTGTTTTGCATGTAATGAGTCTATCTTATATATTAGGTTCACCTTTTAAGTTGCATTACTGAAATAAATGAACTTTTGCATAATATTCTAATTTTTCGAGTTTCACCTGTAATCTGTAAACCAAGGAGAGACTTGAAAGTATTTTGGAGGAGCAAGATTGTAATAAAAGCAGCTTATATTATATATAGTTAGGTTAATATGCGTTAGTATAAGGTATATATAGAAATTAAGAATCTGAATGTTCCAATATTCTAATAATGTTTTATATTATTTCTGTGAGCTTTAATAGAAATTACTTTTCGTTCACAATAGCTGTTTTCCTTTTTAATGATAGGAATCAGCATGAGAATGAAAACAATTGTAATTTGGATTTTTGAAAATATATAAACTATAGAGGATTAGATTTCAAAAGGTTTGATTTAATATTTTACATCTAAAGCTTTTGTTCAAATTTCATTTCTGTTCAGTTCCTATTTTGTACAATCAGCTATAGATACATATCGTCTCCAAAACTATTTTATAGCGATAAAATGAAGCAGAATGTTTGCTAGAAATTACTGTAATTAATATTAGTTTGTAAGCTATCCATTAGTTTTTTTTCTCCCTCTAATATCTCCCTCTAATATCAGTGTTTGTTTTATTACAAGAAAATATACTTGTTAGTTCTCTCTCCGACAAAAATTCTGAACAAATAATTTGGGGTCTTTAAAATTATTTCCCAATTATAACTAAATTTTAACATTCTAAATGTTTTGATCAACTACTTTATGGAATGAGTGTCATGCTCACAACCTGTTTTTTGTTATTTTGCCTGACTAGTTTTAGTTCGTAAGGTATTTATAAAATAAGCACAGAAATCAACTCAAACTACATAACAGTTAAATGCAAAAATGAATGTCTGGGACCATATATGGTTTATTAATTGTCACATATGTAGAATCCAATTTCTACAGATGCTTTTACACGTACAGCTCAAACATGTATGACTGTGATTTTCCAAGTATGAGTAGACTTCATCTCCTATAATTCCTAGAACGGATAAAGTTTTGAAATAGGTCCTATACTTCTCAAGATCCAGATTCCCAACAGCTGGTTTATAGGCAGGAGAAAAATGCATTCATTTGTATACTTAATAAAAACCAAATTACATATACCAAATCTCATCACTTGACTTATTTCATATGAGCTTGAAAAAGTCAAATTAGGAATTTTGGACAACTGTTACTGATCAGAGGGACTAATACTGAGTTAGATCCAATGATGTGAGTCACTATGAGACAGCTTCCTATGTTTACTGTCCCCAGTTGTTGTGAATACGCAGTCACTGATGCTATCACAGTTCAAATCCTCTGAAGAATGTGCACCATTTGCTATTAGAAGTTCATTTAAACACTTCAGTATAAGCAGTCAAGCAATTATGTCAGGAGATGCAGATTCTGAATTTGCAACAAACCAAAGCAGCATAGGCAAGGATGAGGGATGCTGGGAACTGTAATTCAGCAACTGAGAAACCCAAGTGAAATCATGGTTTAATTCTTAAACAATGTTAAATAATACTGATTTCATAGATTGTTTTTTAAAGTAAACAACTTCTAAATCAATTGCTCCATTTTTAAGACATTATAGGGGAATACATTTAATGAATTTAGGCAGCAAATTTCCACTGAATAAAGGATCAGAGTATCAATTAAGGCTGCACAAAGCATAAAAAAGAAGCAGTTTTAAGGTATATTAAGAAGGATCTCTCTCAAAGAGTTACAACATTTCTGTAATTGCAAGGCTCATGTGGATCTTTCAAAAACTAAAGCCTTCCTCAGATTCCATTCTGAACCTTGAATCTGTGTATGCCTAAATTTATATGGCCATGCATCTCACACAAATGATTTTGAGCTGCTTGCAAAGATTAAAAACAAAATGCTAAATTAATGCCTAAACTATGCAAGTTATTTTCTCCAGTAAATTTCTGTAGCTCCTTCACTCCTTCACGCTAAAGGTCATGCGATATTAAATTAGGTTCTACATATAGAAACCAGAGAGACATGAATTACATCTTTTTTGCTCTCTTTCTTATTGCATAAATCCCCTAGCTTCTTTAAAAAAATTACCAAGGTTCTTTTTGTTCAAGTTTCTCATTGTAGTTATGTTTACCTATTTCAGAGATGGCTATGAAGCTCTACCTTCCTTCATGATTGCTGAAAGCATATGCCTATGATCACTGGGGCTGACAATTCAGCAGCATCTGGAAGGTTACATACTGCCCATTCCTGTTCAAAATAAAATCTACAGGTTCCAGATTGTTGTATGCATAAAAATAGGTATCTGTCAAATCTACATCCCCAAAGAATGCTTTGTTACTGAAAGCTCTGTTTCTGAAAATTATGACATCTCCATTTGCATTTAGGATAGATGACACTGAACCTCATCCATTCTTTGGTTGTTGGAAGAGCAATCTGTGGTGTTTTAATTTGTCTTGCCAGATCCCATAAACATAGTCACATCCTGCCTTCTCTAACCCACAGTAACAATATGTGAACTGGATATCTGCTTCAGCTTATACATTCATGTATCATTTATCACTGTGTTATTATGGCAATATAAAGTCAACATGCCAAAATGCTAATATACAGTAAATAAAACTTCTTTATAGTTTTCCTATTTTAGCATTATCTGGTATTTTTTTCACATAACCTTAATTGATAAATCTAATCTTTATATTCAGACATAACCTTCAATTTTTTAAATATCCAGACATGATGGTATTTTTCTTCTTCATACTGCTACTTGTTTATTTCCCTATTTTCTAATATTGCTTATGTCTGAAACAGTTGATTTATCACTTTTTCAAGTCATGGGTATGGAACCATATGAAATGCTGCACAGCCCTCTTTTCTCAAGCCTTCCGAAGCCTTTACTGAAAATGATCAAAGCAGTTTCATGCCACATGCTAAATGAAAACAGTGTATATACTCCAATACAGACATAACAATTCCAAAAAGTTGTGAAAAAGAAAAAAAAAACGAAGGTAAAGGGATAGAATCCTGGCGCATTGATTTATGTGACTTAGTTTTATGTGGTATCATAACCCCTATTCTTAAAACTCCTTCTCTTAAAGCATGCCCAGATCTAAGCTAGGTACTCTAAATTTTCCAAAGCATCATGATACATGCTTATTCTTGGAATTTTTAAAGTACTCTACAATCTGAAAAAGTATTTTTTATGACTGACCAGAGAAGAGCATTTATATAAAGTATATCTGCTCAATGGAACTTTTTCCAGCTTGGTGCTTTTTTGGGGTTCCTCTCACATCCTGTTTGGAAATGAAGAAAAATTCAGTTTAAAAGAGCACCAAATTGAGAAAGAATGGTTTAATAAATCAGCCAGAGCTATTTTTAAAAGTGTAATGATATACTTCTACATGGCATTTTTATTGACCCCATTAATGATCAGTGACAAAAGAAGAAAAAAATGGTAACTGAATAAATTTAGCCATCTGTATAAACTTTATCCCATTATCCAGTGAATAACTATAAAAAGTTTTTGCACAAGGAAAGTGAAGGGTCAGACTTTTTGGCAATACCTCAACATTAACCTTGGATATAGATATATGAAAAGACTGTCCATCTCCATCTTTTTAATTTAGCCACCACTGCTCCACAATGTGGAAAACAGTAAGGAATTAGTGCTCACTCAGGAGTGGAACTCTGTGTCTTGGTATCACCTAGGCAGATACCAACAACTCTCATGGGAGAAAGAGAGTACAGCCAACTATAATGCATCATTAAGTTTCTCTGGTTCAAACAAACGGCTGGAAACATTTTCTGTATAAGTTTCTTAATTTTTTTTTATAGTTCAAATGGAGTAAGTGCATGATAAGGACTGGTGGGTTTTTTTTAACCACCCACTTTTAAAACAAAGACTGTATCCAATTCATGAAACTACAGAATGTGAACTTTCACATTAAAAAAAAAACACCCTTCTGTTAAACATTGAGAGCAAATGTAGCAAACACTATGGTTTCAATACATGACCAAGAACCATCACAACACCATGAGTAAAAATGTCCACATTTTGGGAGGAAACCAAGCCTTTGGGAGGAAGGGTAGAATTACTCAATGGAATAAAAAATTTCTAGCTTGATGTCATTCATAAGTCTTGGATTTCAAGAACCACAATTCTCAACAAATGTATTGAAAAATTGGGTTAAGCTTAGAACTCTCCTCTGCCTCAAAGATGCCTAGTTTATTTACTCCCAATTTAAGGCGATATAATTTGCCAGAATATAACTACTAATGTTCTGAAATTTACTATGGTCATTATGGAAATGCTAACTCACTGCTCAGGGTTGTTGTTTTTAAGATAAAGCCTTATGCTGTCAATCTAATGTGTTGGCAAAGCAGCAAAACTGATACCACCATAACTTATTTTAAGCAGCACTATACAATTTTGTCAACTTGTGGTTTAAAAAAAAATCACCAAAGACTTAAGCCTTTAAGAGCACACAAAATGAAACCACAAAGAAAAGACAGGTAACTTTGGTGGAATATCAATGAAAACTTGCCATTTAAACAAAAAAGGATAGTGAAGAGTTGTTGAGGAGTGCCCTTGGAGCAGCATCCGGAGGTAAATTCAGAGTGCACCATACGACTAACAGGTAAATTGCTTATGATACAAGGAAAAAATGCTTGCATTACTGTTTACCAGTGACAGCTGCTTTCAAGAATCATCCTTCTTGGTATACATGGATCTGTTGAACTTCTCATATCAATGTGAGTTGAAAAATGTATTGAATTCAGATTTCTTCTTATTAATTCAGTCCTCTATTGTTAGTAGTAAAATGTCTTGTTAGTACTGTCATCTACAAGTGTAGCTCTTAAAGATCACAATAAGCAACATCGTTCTTTAAAACTCTTCTTATTCTTGCTGCTTTTTTTGCCATTCTTGTCTTTATTGTCTGACATTTTCTTGGATCTAATTTCTCTCATCAAATCAAAAAATACCTTAAAAAGAGAGAAAAATAGACAGTATTATCAGCATTTGAAACTGGCTGGTATAAAGGAGTAGTGCATGTTTTGAATTAATGCAACATACTATGAAAAAAGATAATAAATCCCTAAACATATTGTTTATTCACAATAGTGATTTTAAATGGCTAATTTTTAACCATGAAAAATTTATTACACAGGTAGTTAGTCCTCAACTGATAACAACTGATCCCAAAGTTTATGTTGCTAAGTTTTAGGTGAGTTTTGCTCCATTTTACCACCTTTCGTTACCACAGTTGTTAAGGGAATTACTGCAGTTGTTAGTAACACGATTGTTAAATAAATCTGGCTTCCCCATTGACTATTGTCAGACCTTTGTCAGAAAGTTGCAAAAGGTGATCACATGACCTCAAAACAGTACCCATCATAAACATGAATCAGTCTCCAAGTGTCCAAATTTTGATCATGGGACCGTGGGGATGCTGTAACAGTCGTAAGGGTGAAAAACGATCATAAGTTGCTTTTTTCAGCGCATTATAACTTCAAACTGTCACAAAACAAATGGTTATAAGGCCTACCTACCAACTATTTGGGTTTAGTGCAGAAATCACAGGAACTCTCAAGGAATGGCATACTTCAGTCACACTTAATTTTTCAGAGCTGGTAAGCATGCTTACAAGATTCCAAAATTAAATGGGCAATAGACAACCCAAGAGAAAAGGAGCCATTGTTGGCCGTATGACACAATCCCAAAAGCGGACATCTTTTTCTGAGTTAAAAAATAATGCTGATGAAGCTCTTAAGTTTTCTTTTCCTCGCTATAGCTAAACTTAGCTCCACAAGCATTAGACTGGTGAAGCTAGGTTTAAGCGAATGAAAGAAAATTATGAGGATTTGTTTTCCTCACTATTGAAAGCCATAGTTCTACTAACACTGGCAGAGCTAAAGCAAGTGAGGAAAAGAAAATGGACAGCTTTGCCAGTTTTATTTTTCGCTTGGAATTTGGGGACTATCTTTATGCAAACACATTTTATCTATTCTTACAAAACTGCAAGGAACCAATTGTGCTTCCGTTAAGATTTATGGCAATTATCACATTAATACACTGCTCAAAAAAATAAAGGGAACACAAAAATAAGGCATCCTAGATCTGAATGAATGAAATATTCTTATTAAATACTTTGGTCATTACATAGTTGAATGTGCTGACAACAAAATCACACAAAAATTATCAATGGAAATCAAATTTAGCAACCCATGGAGATCTGGATTGGGAGTTACACTCAAAATTAAAGTGGAAAAAAACACTACAGGCTGATCCAACTTTGATTTAATGTCCTTAAAATAAGTCAAAATGAGGCTCAGTAGTGTGTGTGTGGCCTCCACATGCCTGTATGACCTCCCTACAATGTCTGGGCATGTTCCTGATGAGGTGGTGGATGTTTTCCTGAGGGATCTCCTCCCACACCTGGACTAAAGCATCCCCCAACCCCTGGACAGTCTGTGGTGCAACATGGCGTTGGTGGATGGAGCGAGACATGATGTCCCAGAGGTGCTCAACTGGATTCAGGTCTGGGGAACGGGCGGGCCAGTCCATAGCATCAATGCTTTCATCTTGCAGGAACTGCTGACATACTCCAGCCACATGAGGTCAAGCATTGTCTTGCATTAGGAGGAACCCAGGGCCAACCGCACCAGCATATGGTCTCACGAGGGGTCTGAGGATCTCATCTCGGTACCTAATGGCAGTCAGGCTACCTCTGGCGAGCACATGAAGGGCTGTGTGGCCCCCTAAAGAAATGCCACCCCACACCATTACTGACTCACTGCCAAACCGGTCATGCTGGAGGATGTTGCAGGCAGCAGAACGTTCTCCACAGCGTCTCCAGACCTGTCACGTCTGTCACATGTGCTCAGTGTGAACCTGCTGTCATCTGTGAAGAGCACAGGATGCCAGTGGTGAATTTGCCAATCTTGGTGTTCTCTGGCAAATGCCAAACGTCCTGCATGGTGTTGGGCTATAAGCACAACCCCAACCTGTGGACGTCGGCCCCTCATATCACCCTCATGGAGTCTGTTTCTGACCGTTTGAGCAGCCACATGCACATTTGTGGCCCACTGGAGGTCATTTTGCAGGGCTCTGGCAGTGCTCCCCTTGTCCCTCCTTGCACAAAGGAGGAGGTAGCGGTCCTGATGCTGGGTTGTTGCCCTCCTACGGCCTCCTCCACGTCTCCTGATATACTGGCCTGTCTCCTGGTAGCGCCTCCATGCTCTGGACACTATGCTGACAGACACAGCAAACCTTCTTGCCACAGCTCGCATTGATGGGCCAGCCTGGATGAGCTGCACTACCTGAGCCACTTGTGTGGGTTGTAGACTCCGTCTCATGCTACCACTAGAGTGAAAGCACCGCTAGCATTCAAAAGTGACCAAACCATCAGCCAGGATGGTTGGAACTGAGAAGTGGTCTGTGGTCACCACCTGCAGAACCACTCCTTTATTGGGGATGTCTTGCTAACTGCCTATGCTTTCCACCTGTTGTCTATTCCATTTTCACAACAGCATGTGAAATTGATTGTCAATCAGTGTTGCTACCTAAGTGGACAGTTTGATTTCACAGAAGTGTGATTGACTTGGAGTTACATTGTGTTGTTTAAGTGTTCCCTTTATGTTTTTGAGCAGTGTATATTGTAAGAGTATTTCAGCAAGTCTACAATAATTTCTGCTATACAGGTAGTCCTCGACTTATGACCTGTTGCTTAAGGACTGTTTGAAGTTGTGACATACTTTCTCAAAGCTACTTACAACCTATTTTCAGAGTTATCATGCTGCACCCATATCCCATGGTCACATAATCCTATTTTTGGAGCTTGTCAACCAATTCTCTTTTATGGCCACTTGCAGCAACCCACAGTTAGGTGACCATGATTTGTTATATTTTTGTGTGTGATTCTTAGCATTTATTTCCACTTTCCAGCAAAAAAAAAAAAAGGGGGGGGGGGGGCATCAGGGAAAAATGGAATTGGTTAATGGCTGCCATGTTGACTTAACAATTGTCCTAAAGTGGTCGTAACTTTGAATCTAGTCACATGATGTCTTGACTTAAATACTGCAATGATTTACTACCATAATCCTGAGCTCAAGTCAAGGTTTGCCTGTATTGTGATAATATATATAATTTGAAGTTTGAGGAATAATTGCAGAAAAAAGTTGGCAACCGAGATATCCTTCTATTTACAAAAGGTAGCTATAGTTTATTATGTCACCATTTGCTCAAGTTCTTTCATTAAATCGAAGTGGTTAATAACTCTTACGGTGATTAGTTTAAGATCTTACATAAGATGTGAAGATCTCACAAAGTGCCAAATTCTTTTGCCTTACATTTATATACAAGTACAATTTAAGGGGGAAAAAAAACCTGTCAAGTGTGATCAGTCCCATTTATGAAACGTTGCTGAATAGAAACTCTTACTTTACCTTATCTACATTTGCTCTTGTTTTTGCTGATGTCTCTACATACTGCACCCCCCACTCTTCTGCTTTACTTCGAGCAGCTTCTACAGGCACTTGTCGACGGTCCTCCAAGTCTGATTTGTTTCCCACTACTAGTAATGGTATTTTATCCTCTTCAGCTTTTACACGGAGAATCTGTTCTCTAGTACAAGCATATTAAAAGCAAAACAGTAGATAAGGCCTTAATCAATATTTCCTGCTAGGGTGCAAAATGCATATATGTCAGAAGCAATAAGTGTGGTATGCCAAGGAATTGCAAAGCTATTGTGTACTACACTTACTGTCAAGCAAGAGAGCAGCGTTGCAGGTCCCAAGTACCAGAGTTCAATCTGGCAGGACCCAGATAGTATGCCTTTTTCCCGGTTTCCAGTCAAAATATAATATTTTACCGCAACTAACTGATGCAATCAATTGTACCAGAGCAGGTTCTGGTACAACCTGGTCAGCAGGTTCTGACCAGTTCTGGAGAAATGGTAGTAGAAATTTTGAGTAGTTCGGAGAACCAGCAAATACCACCTCTGACTGGCCCCGCCCCCATCTATTCTCTGCCTCCCGAGTCCCAGCTGATCAGCTGGGTCTTCTTTTTGTTGCCCTGCATAGGAGAACCGAGCTGGAAAGCAGGTTAGTGGGGTAGGGAGGGAATAGGATTTTGCAGTATCCTTCCCCCAGGAGTTGGGGAGGGAATGGTGATTTTATAGTATCCTTCCCCTGGAGTTCGGTGGGAATGGAGATTTTACAGCATCCTTCCCCTGTCACACCCACCAATCCATATCACAGCCACCAAGCCATGCTCACAGAATTGGTAGTAAAAAAAAATTAATCCCACCTTTGTATTGTACCTATTATTTTATCTACACACACACACACACACACACACACAAAAGAGTTAAATATACTTTAAATGAAATTAAGTGGGAAGTATACACATTATACAGTCAGCACCACACTTCCCATCAATGAAACATAACACTGTATTAGCATAATCAGCTCAAAAATTATTAGCTATTATTATTGCTGTTATGCCAAAGCAATAAACGGCAAGATGAAGGCCAAATTACAGACCTTAAATTTATCACGTGAGCCTGCTGTAGAGGCTTTTAACTCGTAGTGTAGGGCTGAGAGACAAAGTGGCCCATCCACAAGGAAGGTCAAAACTCGGATCTCCCAGTCCAGCAATTTAACCATTATTCCACACTGGCTCCATAAACTAATATACTGATATAAAATGCAGTTGTGTTTTGCACAGTTACAGCTATTGCGAACATTTATATCAACAGAGGGAGAATTAAATAGTAAAAACTATTAGCTGCTCTACAAAATGCACCTCCACAGCCATATTTAATCAGTAGCCTTTGCCTTTTTAAATGTGTTAAGTATTTTCCTGTTCAGTTTAGCAGACGTTCAAAGCTTAATGCGTTCTGGAAATGAAAGGAAAGATGACATCTTTCTTTTGGACACATTATAGATTCAATCAAAAATCAAACTCCAATTAAAACATCTAGAGATCATATTTACCTAAATTCTGCTGTGGCTGTAAAGGATTCATGCTCAGTTATGGAGAAAACTAAGAGAAAACCTTCTCCACTCCGGAAATAGTTGTCTCGAATAGCTGCATAATCTTCCTGCCCAGCTGTATCCAGAATATCTATTTGGACTTCTTCACCATCTAGAACAACTTTTTTTCTGTAACTATCAGCCTTGGTTGGTTCATAGTCTTCAACAAACTAGAAAGCATAAAACAATAGTTAGAAATAAGTTTCTACCACTTCTTCGGATGGCAAATTAAGTTATAAAGGATTATCTAATTAACAATAATGCCTATTTGCAGCTCCAATGCGTATAACACTGAAATCAAAATATTTCCTTCATTTATGTGTTAAAGATCTGCTTCAACTAATAATCTGGGGATAAAAACAATGTACTCTTTTTTTAAAAAAAAAATCATCCTGTAGATTTCATAGGTAAAAATTCTGCTTTGGTTTATCGTGAGTAAAGGCAAATATTTATTCTGGAATGAAGATTCATGAAAGCCCTTCATGATAAATCTATTGCCATTAGAATTTGTTCAAGCAATTCTAAGTCTACCTCTGAAGTCTTAAGCATTATCTATTTTTTTCTTGAGATTGCAGCCCAGTTAGATGTTATGCTTCTGTCACATTAGCATGATCCATAAAATAGGGTAAAAATTTAGTATTAATAAGCATTTGTACATTGTATACTCCATTCTTGGTGGGAGACTGCAAATAGTATACTGACTTGCAAGGTAGCTTTTATATTAGAAATCCTACCTTACACAGAATTAAAATGCTTGGGAAAAACTGGGTTTGATTGTGCTCATGGCATACTAGTAAAAATGTCAAAACTGACCCAAGCGTCTTTACTATTAGCAGGAAATGCTTCATGTGGCATGGACAGCTAGTAACCTAATCTACTCCTTTCCTGTCTTACTGAAAAGTATTATGTGAAAACCTCAAGGTATCAAAAGCACATTGGATGGCTGATTTATGTCCCCCATCTACTGATAACAATGGCATGTAGAAAGTTACAACTTGAGTGTAAGAGAAGTAAATGATATTTAAGGGCATGAATTAAGGAAATGAAAATTAAAGAAAAACAATTATGTTCTATGCTGTGGAACAAAGATAAAAAAGGAAAGGAGTAATAAATTTGAATGAAGGCATAGTTGAACTAATGGAATGGAGATGATGAAAACATATAAATCAAAGTGTAGATGTAATTATGAAGTATCTAAAATGTATGATTTTGATATTCATAACAAACACATAAATGGATAGCATCTAGATTGTTGTAGATGACTATAATTGTAGGCTGGTGATAATCTGGTGAATAATAAGCACTCCACTAAATGTTGATAATGAAATAGTAAGGAAAAACTGTAGCAAAAATTATACAATATTTTAAATGAATTTTCTAAAATCCATGATCAACTATAAAGATGACCATTAGGAAAATATATGCTTAGAAAAAGGCATGTTTTAAATACAGATCGTCTTCTAGTTATGAATGTAAAATGGAGCCTGCCCATTACATTTGTAACCCACGGATTAATGGGAGTGAATATCAGCGAGGCCTGCGCAGGCCTAAACGGAGGTACAGAGGGATGGGCCCGCCCCTCCAACTCTCCATTTTGGCCTGGAATGTGCTGGGCAAGGCCTGTGCAGGCCTAAATGGAGCGTTGGAGGGGCAGGTCCGCCCCTCTGAACCTCCATTTTGGCTGGCAAAGTGCAAGACACATGTTGCAGAGCCTCTGCGGTTATTCGTAAGGGCGAACAACTGCTGGGATGCTGCAAGATTCGTAGTTTTGGGACTTGTTCCTAAACACTAGGGGATGCTTATCATGTAACTTCGAATGTTCGCTAAAGGAATTACCTGTATATAGTTTAAGACAATACATATGTATACATAGAAGAATGAATGATTAAGTATGACTACTTTGATAATTTGATAGTAGATTAAAGATTACTGGCATCAGGAAAGAGTATAAAGGGGATGAGAAGTTCTCAGTTTTAAGTCAGGTCGTTGTTTCTGGCAGTGTCAACAATAGATCTTCAGAAAATGGGCATAAAACCTCCAGAAAAGTAAAAATAATTAGACAGAAAGTAGAAGGGGAGAAATAAGAGCTTTATGTGGAAAAATGTAGAAGATAAATTAATTTCCTAATAGAATGAATAAATGTAAGGAAAGAGAATGAAAAAAACTCCTTGGAGAGAATACATAGAATTACTCTAGGAGGACGCAAATATGAAATAGTAGTGAGAACTTGAAGTATGAAAAACAATTCTCAGCAGAATCATTAAATGAAAGAAGACATGGATGAGAAACACGCCCAGCAAAGAATGACTGCTGTAAAAGAGAAAAAGAATGTATGGGTGCAAGAACAAAAGTTTGAAAGGATGTAATCAAAGAAAGCAAGGAATGCTTAAGAAAAAAATGACAAAGGCCAGAACAGTTTTGTATATAAATAATTACAGCATGACTAAGGCCAGAACTGACATGAATGCTGTATCTGTTGGTGAAAACAGGCTGTTAAAATGTTGAAAATAGTAATGCTGCAGGAATAACTGGTGTACATGGAAAAATGTAGCAGTATGGCTCTTTTAAGAATTTCTGCCACTTTCTTATATATGATTACATTCTTAAGAGAACTAAGAAGTTTAAAAGAAAAAAATAAATGTATGAAGTGGTATACTGGTTTTGGAAAAAAAAATAGTTTCAGGGATAAAAAGTTATAAAGAGATGTTATTTTACTGATTATTCTAGAATGCTTCTTGTATTTAAAACCATGAGATCTAATAAACAGAATAAAATTATATCTCTTTCTGAAAAATGTTCTACAAATTTATGGTCTTGTATTGATATCCCACAATGCACAGTAAAAGCAGTTCAGTGCAGATTTAGTACATCATTTTAATACCTATAAATAGAAAAACGACAAATATCTTACCTCATCATACATAAACTGAAGTGTAAGTGCTGATTTGCCCACGCCTCCACTACCAACCATGATTACTTTGTGAAGGGCAAGAGAGCTTTGACTTTTTGCCTTGCTAGCAGCCATTTTTAATATAGTTGTCAGGTATCAGCTGAGTAGACTGATGAGCTAGAAGCCAAAAAATAGGTGTTTTGTTATTCAGATCAAGAATTTAATCACCAGAATGACAGAATTATCTGATGCAATCAGACAAAATTTCAACTATGTCACAACCTTTGAGAAGGACTAAATAAATATTGATGCTTTAACTGCAATTTCATCTGGATAAACCATTGAAACAATTTAGAATACAACATGATGAATAATTATTAGGCTTTCCTTATAATTCTAGTACGATTTTGAATAAGTATTTGCAAAATCCTATTTCCCTTTTCAAATGGCAAACTTATAATTTCACTTGAAAAGACATTGAGTTTGGCTTCAACTATAGTGTGTAAAGAAGTTAATTAAGATACATGCAATTTTAATTTCTGTTAAAATGTCAACTTTGTAATTTAGTTGACATTAGAAACAAATATGATGAAATAGAAAAGAAAAAAATGTAACCTTTAAACTTGCTCATATTACTATTTGATACCTATTTTAAAGTTTGGAGAACTCTCCTAAAATAGATTTTGAAAGCATAGGGGGAATTGCTGGGAAGATGTGAAAATATTTTCTGGCAATGCATGGGAAGAAATAACTACATTATCTATCATGGAAATTTATCACTGAATTGTGCCCCAAAAGCTGGAAAGTTCCCGTCAACCAAATCTTTAACATAATGTATATTATAAGAGGAACAGAAGAGGGGTTATACTGGAAGTTTGATGCTTTTGTCTGTGTAAAGGTAGTTCTCAAATTATGACTAGTCATTAAGCTAAAATTATGACAGATTCCGCAGGGCTACATATGACCCAGATTTGAAGTTCCAATGACTGGACACCCCCTGTGGCCATATTTTGGATTCTTGGCAACCAGCTCGTATTTACAACTCTTGGACATGTGACTGCAATTTATGATGCATTTTACCAGAAACTAGCCTTTATTTCCAGTTTCTGGCAAAAAAAAAAAAAAGCCCACTGAAAACAGTAGATTTGCTTAAGACCGCCAGATTCACTCAACAATAGCTACAACAAAAATTGTAAACTCAGGTACCCACTTAATGACTGGCATAACTTAAGTGCATAATTCTAGACTCAACTACTTGTGCAATGTATTTATTTTCTGTGAGGCTCATAATTTGAAAGAAATGTTAACATCAAAATTGGCCATACAGTACTATATAACACAGACTGCAAGACTATTGAGTCTTCTTACGCTTGATACTCAAAAATAGCAAAATACTTTGAAATTCTTTCAGTTTTCTCCACATTTATTCAAATTTGAATATTTTCCTCGATTAATAGAAATCTCCCTGAGATAATTTAGATTTTTAGGAATTGCCCTGTAGAGATTAGAGTTGGATAATCAATAGTTTCTGTTAAACAGCATGGTTGGGCATCATAACAGAGAAAGTTGTGATGCCTGTCCACTACAAGAGCATTCCCCTAGAGATCCATCAACATTCTAAAACCCCAATTGCTTTCCCAGACCTTGTACTAAGATGGGTGCGTTGTGGATGGTTTTTCCCAAACATAATCCCCCTCTTTTAAAATTCTTTTATTTTTTATAGTATAAGTTGAATGCACTTGTCTGGTATAGTGTGGCTTTCTATGTTTAATTAAATACCTTTCATATTAATGAAATAACCACAACATAGTTTTCAATCCATATCATATAAGATTTATGTAAGGATATAAAATATTTAATGGCTTTCAAATTTGATTTCCTCCTCAGATTTGCCCAGAAATTCTACTTTTATTATCATTGACTCTAATCAAGCAAGCAGCTACAATCTTCCTTCTTTCACTTGCCATGCAGCTGGCATTGCACGATTTCTCCAGCTCGACTGCAACTGAAAGCGGTCATTCTTTAAGAACAGAGTTTGGGCCACTAATCTATATCGATACACAACACTTTTGTAAAAGCCTTCTAGTACTCCATTTCTAAGACGATTTAACTGTTAACATGAAATCAGAAACTGCAAAACTAAACATGTGAATTCTATTTTCTCTTATTGTATATCTGATAAAAAGATGAAGCCAAATGGATTACAGTATTTTAGGTGGCTCAATTATGTACAACATAATGATTCAGAGTTTATATTCAGCAATTCTACTGAAACATTAAATTTTAAGACATGACTTTAGAAACCAAAACCTTTCCTATTAGCACAAGAATAATAAATCTCTCCTTGCTCCTTCCCTCTCAATTTTCATTGCAGTCAGAAAAGAGCAAAGATGTTTCAGGTCATATTCAATGTTCCTCACTAAGAGGAGTTGTTCTGGAGTTGGCCCAAATTCAAGTTCACTGCGTTGATGACACTATCTAACCATCTCATCACTCTGCCATCCCCTTCTCCTTTTGCTTTCAATCTCTCCCAGCATCAGGGTCTTTTCCAAGAAGTCCTCTCTTCTCATTTGGTGGCCAAAGTATTTGTTCTTCCAAAGTTAGGGAAGACTTACTTTAGGATTGACTGATTTGATCTTCTTGCAGTCCAAGGGACTCTCAAGAGTCTTCTCCAGCACCACAATTCAAAAATGTCAATTCTTTGGTGCTCAATCTTCCTTATGGTCCAATTCCCACTGCCATAGAAGATCATAGCTCTGACTCTACGGTCCTTTGTCAGCAAGGTGATGTCATTGCTTTTGAATATATTATCTAGGTTTGTCAAATTTTTCCTCCCAAGGAGCAACCAACTTTTACAGGTAGTGCTTTACAATCACAATGGAGCCCAAAAATTATGTTGCCAAGCAAGAGAGTTGTTAAGTGAATGTTGCCCCATTCTGAGACTTTGCTTGCCACAATTGTTAAGTGAATCACAGTTATTAAGTTAATATCCTGGTTGTTAAATGAATCCGGCTTTTCCATTCACTTCCATTGTCATAAGGCCGCAAAAGGTGATCACATGACCCCAGAATACTCAACATCATAAATATTAGTTAGTTACCAAGCATCTGAATTTTTGATCATGTAACCAATGGGGATGCTGCAACAGCCATAAGTGTGAAAAACAGTCATAAGACTTTTTTTCAGCATCACTGTAACTTCAAATGGTCACTAAATGAACTGTTGTAAGTTGAGGACTACCTGTAATTTAATGGCTGCAGTCACCATCTACAATGATCTTGGAGCCCAATAAAATAAAATCTGTCACTGCTTCCATTTGTTTCCCTTCTATTTGCCAGGAAATGACCAGATGCCATGATCTAATGTTTCTTTTTAAAGAACTATTTCAAGCCAACTTTTGCATTCTCTGGTTTATGCAGATTACTTGAAAACAAAGAGGAGATATGAACAACAGGCTACCATGAGTTCTGAGGAGGAATAAGAATCAGCAAAAACAGCTGGCTAATCAATCCAAAGTTTAATCTTGAGATTTTGGTAACTATTTAGCTTAAAATTATTCTAGTTTTACCAGTGACCAAGCATATAACAGGTAGTGCCCATTTCCTTAGCACAGTTGGGACAGGAAACTCCTTTGATAAAAGATGCAAATGTAGAGTGAAAAGTAATGTGACTGTACACAACTTACAACATCAGTTCTGACTATGGTTATTAAGCGAATCGCCACAGGTTAAGTGTTACATCAAGTGACTGCAACTTGTGACTTGATGCTAGCTTCCATAGATTGTGTTTGTTGGAAGCAGATTGCTAAGGTTGCAAATGGTGATAATGTAACTGTGGGACATTGTAATTGTTGTAAATGTGTGTCAGTTACCAAGTGCTCAAATTGCAATTACATAATTGCGGGGAAGCTACCAAGCTGTAATATTGAGGACCACCCATAAGTCTCCTTTTTTAACACCTCTGTAACTCTGGGTGGTTATCGAACAAGTGGTTGATAAGTGAGGATTACATGCATAAGCATGAATTAACAATTTTCCTACCTGTAGGTCACTAACTCTTTCACTTTCTTTATTAGAGAATAAATATTAATTTATGCCAAGGGTCCTCAAACTTGGCAAGTTTAAGCCTTGTGGACTTCAACTCCCAGAATTCCTGAGCTAACATGACTGGAGGAGGAATTCTGGGAGTTGAAGTTCACAAGTCTTAAAGCTGTTGTGTTTGAAGACCCCTGATTTATGCAGTTCATTGTGACCATTATCTCCAAAGCAATATAATTCGCATTAGCAAGAGTTCACAGTAAAACATATATATAGCTGCATTTATTAAAGTCATACATTTGAAGAAAAGTATAAAATTTGAGTGATGCTGCTGGTCCCAAACCATTAAATTTAAGTCATGTGATTGCTATTTATATGATTAGTTACTTAATTTTGTGGAAGAGGTACTTCAATGTTTCAATTTTTATTTGGCGCTTTTCAATATATCTAAATAAGATACGCAGTTATTTTTGCTTCTCTCCTGTATCACTTAATCTTGAATAGCTCAGAACATTAACAACATAACAGTATATTTTATGTACCAGAAATGCATCCATGAAATAAATTAAATACATCAAGGTAACTCTATTCTTGTATCTCATGCTATAGAAATATCTCCCTTTAATACTTTGTTCAATATAAAGAAATCCTTTTTTATACAATCCAAATCCTAATTCTGCCTGACTTTGCTGCATCTTTTAAACAAGAACATACTTCATTCTTGCTCAAAAGTTTATGTTGCTTTAAATGCAAATTTCTTCAGGAGATAAAAATGATGAGCAATAGCCAACAGTACCTGCATTCTTCCACATTTAAAAACCCACACACAAATGTTGCCATGGCTACATGCTATCATTTTGCCCTATGTTTACAACCATAATGCTATTCAGCAAAACTGAAGACACATACTGCCTTTTTGTGTATGGGATGAACAGCCAAGCCTGTTCAGTGACCAAACCTAAAAGTTTAAAGAGATACATGCTCACAACTCATTAATGATGTAATCAGAATTGGCACACTGAAGAGGAAAAACAAGCTTATATGCTAAGCTCCATCAACATCATAAGAACTTTAAAAATGACAAAACCAGGCTCAAATAGTGATGCAACGTTTTGGATGAATGTAATCTTCAGGTTTCTTGATTCTATTATCTCCTTGAGATAGACACCTAACATTAGAATCATCATTACAAAGGCAGAACAAAGAATGTTCTTCCTGCATCAACTCAGAAAGCTCAGGTTGCCCAAGGACCTGTGGATACAAAGTTATGATAGAAGCTGTCATTTGTTCCTCAATAGCTGTCTGGTTTGGCAAAGCAACCAAATAGGACAGGTACAGACTTCAACGGATAGTTAGGACTGCAGAAAAAACAATTGCAACCAGCCTGCCTTCCACTGAGGATCAATATACTGCACGAACCAGAGAGAGGGCTGAGAAAATAACTACAGACCCCTCACATCCTGGACATAAACGGTTTCAATTTCTTCCCCCAGGACACCACTACAGAGAACTGCATGCCAAAACAACTAGACATAAAAGTAGGGTTTTTGCCCATGCCATCACTCTGCTGAATACTTTATTCTCACAGAACTGCCTCATTTCTCATCTTTCCCACTATCTTCTATTGGTTTCTTATGATTTATCAATTGCTGTTTGGAACTTATGATGAATGTTTGTAACCATGATTATGACCTATTCACTTGCTGTTTATATGTACACTATGAGCTTATGCACAGGAGAAAAATTTGTTGTGTGTCTAATCACACTTGGCCAATAAAGAATTCTATTTCTATTTTTTTATCAGGTTTCCATCCAGCAATCAACAGTCTTGACATTTTCGTGATTGGGATTTAAACAATCTAGAAATGGCATAATACAAATCTAGAGACTTCTTCAGAATTTTAGATCATAGATTGCTAGCAAATGACAATCTTGGATAACTAAATGCTCTTGTCCCTCCATTCCTATATAACATTTAAAATTACTAAAACATCATTCTAATCCTAAAATTGGAACCACTTGGTCCAATCACAATGAAAGTAGTTTGATCTTAGAAACTTGTATTGGGATTTTTTTTTTCACCTTGAAGATTTTGTCTATTTCTACATGGTGTTAATAGTGAAGTAAAAATAAAACTGAGGTCACCAACCAACAAACACTGTAAGCTAAGGTACACCAACTTAACTTCTTTAAGATGTCCCTTGAAAGGAAGGGTCTGCCTTCCTCAATTGGGTATTCTCAAGATACATTGGGAAAATAACTCCCCAAATTCCCAAACTGAATTGAATCATAGTTACCACAAAGTTACCATGCTGGGAGACGCTGTCTTGGCACTTTGTACATAATGAACCTAAATGTTGAATAAAGTATCTCATCATCCTGGATTCACAGGTAACAGCAATGAGATTTGCTGTTTCATGACTTTAAGCAAAACAAAAACCTCAAACACTCAAGGAAAGTCGCAAGAAAAACCTGAAATATATTCCAGCTGCGGGTGTTAGAGCATGAGAATATGAGTATCAGTCCATTTCTTGTTTCTAAGAGGGTCATTTTCAATATAAAATAATTGCAACTAAAAGTTCTAATTTAAAGTATTGGCTATATATGGACTCTCTTTTATAACAAGCCAGTGTTATAATGATAAAATTTTCTAACAGCTAATATGCATGATTCTTTAAGAAATATGAATTTCTAATAGGATATTACATTTAAACTAATCTGTCCTATAAGTGCAATAATTTTGAAGTACAATATGTGTTATTGTTACATCTTATAAACTGAACTATAGCTAAACCCAAAAAGATCGTAAGTAAAAATATAGTTTTCAGTGATCTGAAAAAATAATTTCTTTCTACAGATGTATTTATGTATTATCCCATTCTACAGCCATCCACATTTTGGTTTAGCATTATCACTGAACCAGATCAATATTAATGGGTTATAAACCTACTTGGAATGAACTACTAGAATAAGATAGTGGTGATAGGGATGGTATTTTCTTTCAAAATAAATGAAAGAAAATGTTACCTCCAGACAGGTAGTCTTTAACTTCCAACAGTTCATTTAGTGACCAAAGTTTACAACGGTACTGAAAAAAGTGACTTATGACTGTTTTTCACACTTGTGACTGATCCAGCACCCCCATGGTTACATGATCAAAATTTGGAAATTTGGCAACTGACTCTAATTTAAGATGGTTGCAGTGTCCATCATTCACTGGCTGACCTAAACAACAGTCACTCAACTACAAATTTCTAGTACATGAAAAGTATATTTATAAATTGTCATTTTCTGAAGTTCCAAAGAGTAATTTCTGAAGGAAAAATCACATTATTATATATTATATGGTTATATACGACTGTAAAAATGTATGTATACCAAGATATCAATTAGTGTCATTTCTCTCCTATATGCTCAATCAAATCTGTTATACCCCGGCTTTCTCAAACAGACAAAATTTGACAAAACAAGATTGAAATCAATATAATACCAAACCTCAGATTTACTGGCTATTTCCATTTTTTTTCAGTGAAATATTAGAACCTCATCTAGTAGATCCCTTCTTTCTTTCTGAATGGCAAAAGAGTCCCTAGTCTAGCCCTTCCTTACCTTTCGTTTATCTAGCAGTTTTGTGTTCTCAACTTACTGAAGCATTAAGCATCTGTGTAACACTAGCTAACATGCCTCAGCACATACAAAAAACAAGCAGTAATGACACAAGTCTGTATTTTGCAGTGTCTATAATGAGGAAGGGCCAGCCAGAAGTTGTACAAAATAAAAGAAAATATTACCTCATGGCACAAAAGAATGTCAGGGAAAAAAGAGCTAAAAAATATTGAGGCCTATATTAATAGCCTCAAAACCAGCAAAAGCAATTTTTTTAAACATGTCAAAATTAAGACATTGGCCAAAAAGACAGCCAAACCTATGGAAAACCAAGGAGTTCAAATACTACTAAAGAAGGATAAGGAGACTGCAGAAAAAATGCAGGGATGATTAGTATCTGTCTTCACTGCTGAGGATAAATGGCAGATATTCATGCTTGAAATGTATAGGTATAATCTGATACAATGTTGTATTTGACTTCCAAAAAAAGTCCAGCATCCCTTGACAACATTCTTTAGTGTATAATTTAGTAATCATAAAACACAGCATTATAAAGTTATCTATTAGAGAACAAAAAGGGAAAGAATGCAAACAATGGAGTTTCCCTAGGAATCTGTACTGAGATTGATAGAGATCTACTTTTTGTTTAAACAAGAGTAACACAACCAAAGATTTCCAATTCAAGCGCTGTATTTATCCAAATCTGACCTCCATGAATGAGATACTACCAAATTGGAAATATTTTTTAGCAGATTAGAGGTTTTCGAACCTAGGCAGGTATAACATATAAAAAATAATAATTTGAACAATTCCAACCATAACCATGCCTTTTATTCTAACAAGCCAGCTGAATGCGGAAAATACACCAAGACAGTTCAGAAAGGCAAGCCCTTTTCAATGAAATCCAGAAAAGAATAGGGAGAGCAACAAATATATGATCTGTTGACACTTCATAATGACTTTACCCATCACCTCAGTTTCTTGCATGGGTCCCTTTTATCTCCCGTGTTAATGGCAGAAAATAGTAACATGGTATTATTGTCCATAGTTAAGTAAAAAGAAAAAAGAAATCTCGAGGCCAATTTGCTACCACATCCTAATACACTAAAAGTGGAAGCGAGATTTGATGGGGGGGAGGTCTGCTAAAAATCCAACCCCCACTTTTATGCTGGACTAGTTCTCTATAATCAACCTTTTTACAGATCATTTGCCCCCACCCACCCAAAGAAAACCCCCCAGGTATTTTAAAGGGACATTTCTCCTCGCACGGAAACTCTTAATATGGGTAAATACACTTACTCCCATTATTTCCATTTACCTTCAGCTCAATGCAACACCCAGGTCTCGCAGCCTTTACAAAAAAAAAACACCACCCCTTTTAATTAAGCAAAGGGATGGTCAGTGGCGTAGCCCTACGGACACATTCGGAGCCCCCGCCCCGAACTGAGCAGCTTGCCAAGGACACCCCCCCCCTCACAAAAGGCTACCCCCCCACCTTCTCTTTCCGCCCCAAAGGACCCAACGCAAAAGCCCTCAGTATCCATAAAAGAAAAAAGGCATCCGACCCACCTAAAGTTCCGCCGCCATTACGGGGTAAGAATGGAGAGGGAGGGAAAGGGAAACGATACAACCCCCCCACTCCCCCTTTAAGGGATTAGTTACACCGATAAAGTACTTTCGTTGCCTGAGGGCTTTTCTATCAGGTCTACCGCGGGGGGAGGGGGGGCAATTTTTTTTTCACACACACACACACACACACATACACACCAACCCCGGGTTCGTTCCCAACTGCAATGCCACAAAATGGAAAACAAATGCCCAACCCCCGAAGCACTCTCTTCCCCTTTCCTCTCCTCGGCGGCACGAACAGCGCTGACGGCCGCGGCAACCTCGCTCGCCTTTAAAAAAAAAAAAGAGAGAGAGAGAGAGAGAGAGGCTTGAAACTAGGCTGGCTCTTCTTTCTTGCCCGTCTCCTTCGCTCTCGGCTTCTCCGAAAGAAAGAGAAGCGCGGCATTTACCTTCCCGTGGCGGGGCGGCGGTCTGGGTATTGGTTGACTTTAAAAGCTGCCGAGCAAAAAACCAAAAACAAAAACCCCCCAAGGTTCTCCCCCTACCCGAGGCCGGTCGGCTTCAGCGCCGCTACCCTCGCTTTTAGGTAGGCTGATATTAGCAGCAGCAGCAGAAGCAGCATCAAGCGCTACTGCCTCGCGCACCCGCTCGTGCACGCGCTCGTTACCGCCCCGATGGAGGAAAGCCGTGCGCCCGCGCGAGCATATAATTCCCCCGGATTCTCCACTTGCGCGCGCAGCTGCTTCCTTTTTTTTTTTTTTTTTTTAAATTACCAACGTGGCGCGCTCAATGATGTCGCGGGTCAAAGCAAAAGCGCAGCGTCTTTGTTTGCATTCGCTCCACCCCTTTCTCTGGACTTCACGCCCACTCCCGCCCGGCTCTCGAGCGCTTTTTTTTTTCTTCTTTTTTTTAACAAGCCGCTTCCAGGAGCCATCCGCGTCCGACGATGGGGGGGGGAAAGAAGCGTGCGTCTCAAGCACGTGACCCTTTCTTGTCCAATTGGAAGAGGATTGGTTGAACTACCGCTACTAGAGAATGGATTACTATAGAGCGGATGAGCTTCTAGCAAGAAGATAAGGGTGTCCTGTATGTACTGTAATCATTCAGTGTTGGGAAGGTCTGGCTTAGTGGCTACCCTTAAGGATACGCGTAACGACATTGTTTGTGCTCCCTTCATGTTTCGACAAAGAGACAAGGTGCTCTTTTTTCATCATGGCCTTTTGAATTGGGTTTAGGGTAATGTTAGTATGGATTTTTGCATGTTTTCCTTCTGCTGCTTTAGCTGTGCTTTTATCTCGTTTTATATTGTTGTTCCATTGGATTGGACTGCCGAAACGGAATGTTGCTGCAGCTGATAGGTTTACATGGGTTTTCCTTATTTATTCAATTTTCATAGCCGGGCTGTTCTTTAATATTGAGAAAGAGTGAGTTGGTGTTTCATAGTCACACCTATTACACATCAGCCCTTCTGTCTTAATCCATTACAGCTGGTAGAAATTTGTCAGTGCTTTTGAAATTATCGGTTCATTAGAAGTTAGAAGCAGTTAATTATGTCAATAGTAAAGCACTAGCACATATTGCATAGTAAAGCACTAGCACATTCTGTGTGTAAAGTCTTATTCGTGCTTTCAATTAACATGAGTTCTTAATGGGCCATTTCTTAGAGGCTCTAGAGCTACAATGCTTCTCTTATGGATGTTTCTACTATATAGGGACAGTTTCAAATCTGATGTTGCTGAATGTCATTTACTGGATTTTGGTTTGAAATTGATAAAAATAGGCCTTGAAAGCTATGATTGCAGGCCCAAGATTGACTCAGCCTTCCATCCCTCTGAGGTGAGTAAAATGAGGACCCAGATTGCTGGCGGCAATATATTGGCTCTGTAAACCACTTTAGAGAGGCTGTAAAGCACTGTGAAGTGGTATAAAAGTCTATAAGTGCTATTGCTATTCTGTCTGGACCTGAGACGCAACTTTGTTGTGTTGCTGAATGCTTTCAAACATTGCATTAAACAATGATATGGTTTATCTAGGTTTGGCATAGCATGGTCTGTGAAACCAGCCATTATGGCTTATAATCAGTGGCTTGTGATTTATGTGTGAAACCAAACGTGGTTTAACTTAGAAAAACCTGATTAAGCTAACCACAGTTTATTAGAATGCAATTCTGTAATTAAACAATCAGGTTAAAAGTTCCATTGAAACCTTTCAGATTTTTGCATAAATTGAAGCATTTGATGATATTCCAAACACAAAAAAACCAACCACATTTTAATCTAGCATGTTATACAGTTGGTGTATACTTCATTGTGTTTGTCATGCATCTGTCAGAGTCTGAATCCGAGGAGGAAGATGAACAGCTGACAGGGAATGGGAGTGTGGCTCCGTTGGCTGTGAAGAAAACTGGGGAAGGGCAAAGTCCGCTGGGCAGAGCAGGGGAAGGTAGAACAAGGGAGAAAGAATTTAGAAGAACTCCCAGGCCCACCCCCTCTTCATCCTAGGGCACTGAGGGAGGAATGGAGAAGAGAGCAATGTGGGTTGCATGGCTTACAGAGAGGGAAGGGCCCTGATTCCCTTCATTAGCCATACCTGGGGATGAGAGTTTAAAAGAGATGCAAGCTGCTGGGAACAAATGTGAGTTTATCTTGTGTTGACTTTGATTATCTGCATTCCTGGCATCTTCCCAACTAGGTTGAATTACTTCATGTCTGGAATTCCTTCTCTTGCTCTGCTGGACTAATTACCTCATCTTGCTTTGATTATAGTTACAATTTTTTGTTAACCATGTTTTGAACTTGATAGTCTACAGCCAAAGGCTGTTCCTGGGAGAATTTTTCTCCAGCCAGAAGGTAATCAGGACATTAGGGGCAAAGCTGGAGCTAATAAAAGGACTCCTACTGATTATTATGGTGCCTTTGTGCCATGCCCTGGCTCATCACAGTGTCATTATGAACCAAAATAACAATGAATTATTACATTGCCAGTATGAGTTGTACCAATTTGTAAAGTCAAGATGAGTGTGCATTGGCTGAAATGTCAGCAATAATAATAAAAAAAACCTCCATAGTAGAAAAGATTCCCTTTTTATGTGTTATTGTTACACCTGAAGTCTGTATTGTAACATTCCTGAGCATCAATATGTCCAATAACTCTTATCTTGGCATAGGCAATCTCTATTTATTTTCATTATTATTGTGCTTTCAAGTCAATGGGGACTCCTGGCAACTGCCTGGACTAGTCCTTGAAGTTTTCTTGGAAGTGGTTTGCTCTTGCTTATTTCCAGGGGTGGGATTATCCCGGTTTAATAACCGGTTTGGTGATCACACACTTTGCGTGCACAGCTTTCAAAATTACTTATCTTCTATGTTACTTCTGGGGAGTAGCACAGCTGAGATGCAGCAATCTGCTCTGCCGCACGTATCAGCTGAGAGGATATAGGTAAGTACAGTGCAGGGGCAGGTGGGCAGGCCAACCTGATCGTTGGAGATAACTGGTTCGCTGACCATTGGAGCTAGAGGTTCGCCCGAACCAGGAAAATCCCACCCATGCCTATTTTCTTGGGCTGAACAGGAGTGGCTCCTGGTCACCCAGAAGGCTTTCCGACTAAGGCAGGACGAGAACTCACAATGTTCCAGTTTCTAGCCTGGTGCCTTAACCACTACACCAGATTAGCTCTCTCCATACCGACTTGATTTTCATTTCTTCTTATAAAGCCCTTTGATTAAAATGAATAAAGAAGTAGCATGTTGCAAAACAGAACTGCCTCTGGTTTGGTGAGAAGATTCCTGATAAATGAGTGATTGGGTGTGCTCCCTGGGACAGCTGTTCTGTAAGAATGCCCCTGACATGCCAAAATTCCCAGCCCACAAAAGGTTGTATCTTTAAAACTGTACCTTGTTACTAAAATTGCACTGAAATAGATTTTTCTTTCCTCCAAAACCAGTTCAGTTCTATGCACTTGCTTACCAGCTTGTCTCTATGAATTTGGGCAGGGGATTCTGAAGTGCTAGCAGTCCTTGAAGATTATTCACTATTGAGAAGTGGTTAATATTTTTCTTATGGCTGTTTTTGCATGAAGACTGTGTTAGTCTAACATGTTGTGCAAACATAGAAAATGATTCGTTAATGATTCAATGTATGATGTCTGATCAAAAACTGGAATACCTGAGCAAATATACTTCATTTGGGGGGAGAAAGATTTTTCATTTGTTGTTTTTTTCTCACCCCTTTTACTTATGCTTCATTCTAATGTGCTAATGCCTTTTGACAAGCACATCAGCATTCATTTTCTGACCGAAAAAGAAAAAAGGTCACTTGTGTCCAAAAATGAACTGAAAATGGATGGGTTAGAGATTTAGACTGACAATTTTGACTTGACTAAGTTGTTAACTGAAATTTAAAGTGTGAGAGCTTGCAGGCTTGGCAGTATTCATTTGTCCAAAAGATCATTGCACATTATAATTAATGCAGAAGAATGGGGATCAGGATAGTACCCATCCTTTTTAAAAGTTCTATTTTTATTATGTCTAGTTGTCAGCAATTAGATATAATAAAACTTGGGAGAACGGAGAAAAATGTGGGAGAAATTATATTAGATTTCTAATGAAGAGAAAGAAAAAAAATCCCTTTTTGGACATTTGAGTGATTGAAATTATGTATGGGCTAAAATACATATTCCTTAATCATTGTTTTCTGTATAAATCACAATTGACTATTCAGCCACAATTTAGAAACTGCAATGAATGGGTTCCCACATTGTTTATTTTATTTTTATTTATTTTATTTGTTTGTCAAACATGTACAAAATAACAAGTATAGGTATGAACATAAACATGAACAAAGGAAGTAAATATAGATAAATGGGGACAGGGAGGGTAGGCATGCTGGTGAGCTTCTGCATGCCCCCTTTCCGGACCTCTTAGCAATGGGGTGAGGTCCATGGTATACAGTTTGTGATTGAAGCTGCGGGCGGGTAGAGCATTCCAGGCGTTGACCATTCTGTTGCTGAAGTCATATTTTCTGCAATCGAGTTTGAAGAGATTATTGTGTTGATACATCATGTTTCTGGCTTTGATTTGGCATGTAAACTAAGTTAATAAAAGTACTCTATGGAAACATCTCAAATCATTTAGAATGCTGTCCATCTTTTGAAATGCTGTTGGACATATTTCCTTTACAATCAGTCAGATTTCGGAAATAACAGCTTCAATGCAAATGACCAGCTGTCTGCAAGGAGTATAAATCCTTCCATTCCCCACCATCCAATCATAGCTGAAGAAGCTTTTTGGATGAGAAGCGAAACATTTTCAAAGAAAAACCAGAAAGTCCAGTTACATCTTGCAGAAAGCACCTTTTCTCAACAGCTCCAATGCTTTAATAAACAACCTGAACAGCCCAGGCTCGGCTATTCGTAATACATACTTCAAAAGGGGAAAGAATATTAACTATTTGATTTTATGTTAACCATAGCACTATGTGAATTCTAAGGTATTGCAACTCCAACCATGGCATCTTTAATTATAAATAGCAAGAACTAGCCAAGATCAAATCCTGGCTTCAGACCTGGCATCTTAAACTGTAGCTATTGAAAGCAAAACTTTTGAGGCTATCCTGCTGTATCTTAAAAAAAGAAAGGAGTGGACATTAAACAAGTTTAAACAAGAAAGAAACAGGATTTTCTGAACTGGATTGAATTAAAAATGTATTCATCTTCTGTAAACATCCTCACATCCCTTTGTCCATACATTATAAATGATTTCTTACGTTTAAAAAGTCTACAACTTGATTATTAGAGTAGAGATACCTTTCCCCTATCTCCTTTGCTAGGATCTTCACCTGCCTTTCAGGCAGATGCTGATTGCTATCATCATGTCTTGTTTATGTTGGATTTCAGTAACTACCCAGCTCCTTTCCAAAACTCTGAATCAGCAGCTGTATCTTTGTCCTCCTTGCCCTTTTGTGCGTTCTTCAGAGATCTCCCATGCACCCCAGAGAGAGCTTTCAGGTCAGATGAGTGAAGTGAACCTTGAACAAAAGCCAAACTCTGTTCTCCATTCCCTCGTTATTACTGAGGCTTTGACACATCCATCATCACTGACCTTGAAACACTGAAAACCCTTCAGAAGCCAAGCAGAAGTTGACCAACTGAGGAGCGGAAACACCGTGTCTGCTTTTTGGGTCATTTGTAAATACAGAATGGTTACTAGGCGGAGGGGGAAATAATTATTAATAAAATAATTGTGACAAATGAAAAGGAAATCACTGTGCTGCCACCAATGAAACGAAGGAGATGAGAGACTTTTCAGTCTTAAGAACCACCTCTTCTAGGATAACTGGTTCTCTTGCCACATGGATATTTTTATTAGACAGGACTGGCAGAGGGAAATTTATATAATACTTCCTTTTTCAATCTGGTGCAGTGATCAGGTTTTGTGATGTGCTAAGAAAAAAATCTAGTATTACACTGAAACATCCCCCCCCCCTCCAAAAAAATATGCAAACATGCCTTGAGTTTTGGAGATGATTCAGTAAATATAAATACAGCTGTTTGACTCATTGAGCCTTTCTTGGAATTAAAGTGCTCTCCACCCAGATTTAAATTGCAAGAAACTATACCAGCATGAAACAAAAATCCCTAACCTGCTTTTACTTGCCTCTTTTCCCAGGCACCACTTTCCCTATAAGGTAATGAGTGATAAAACCGAATGGATTTTGCATGTATTGAAGCTATCCTTGTTGTTAGAATGAGGGAAGCACTACTTGAACACCAAGGTCAGTTGAAGCCTATCTTATTCATGGACTGGGGATGAGATGAAGGCTAGTTCAGGGCAACATGGCAGACCAAAAGGAGTTCCCAGGCATATTTGTACCATTGCTAGCTGGAACTATGATTGTCAGGAGACAGATAACAGCAGGGGTGGGATTCAAATTTTTAACAACAGGTTCTGTGGCTGTGGCTTAGGCAGTGGGTGTGGCTTGGTGGTCATATGACTGGGTGGACATGGCTTGGTGGTCATGTTATTGGCTGGGTGTGGCCAATTCAATATCACTCACATTGAGGCACCTCGCCTGGCCTCTCATGACTGTGGGGAAGCTGCCACAGTCGTAAGTGTGAAAGATGGTCATAAGTCACTTTTTTCAATGCCATTATAACTTTGAATGGTCACTCCACACAAGCAAAGTACCAGCAAAGGAGGGGGAAAAAACTCCAGAGATGTTCCTGAGACAGGAAGTCTAGTCCTGCCAAGAATGTAATAAGGGTTAACGGGGAGGCAGTTTTTGTAAGCAACACCAGAATGTTTCCTTTCTGCCTTCCTTACAGGATTAGGCCAGTAATTTCTTCTAACAACTGATTCTCTGAACTGTTTAGAATGTTAACAACCAGTTCTAGAGAATAGGTGTGAACTGGTAGAATCCCACCCCTGGATAACAGATAATCAGAGTTGGGAGGGACCTTGTAGGTCATCTAGTCCCCCAAGTGGGAGACCCTACACCATTTCTGACAAATGGCACTCCAATCTCTTCTTGAAAGTCTCAAGTGATGACTCAAGTGAGACTGTAGCATTGGTCAGTTTTATGTGGTGATATCACTACGTGCACTTCTCCAGGCAATAATGTGGAATTAAGGAGAAATATATAATGTTCATACAAGATGGGAATGAATTTATACTGGCAAATCCCGTGTTTGTTTTATAAGATATAATTTTGTTATAGCGCTCTGTATGAGAAATCTGACTCAGGAAAGAGATACAGTGGAACATTCTGGAATTTCCTGTTTATTGGTTAAGAAAAACAAAATACTGGGATGTACTGACTTAATGCCAGGTTGTTTTATTTTGGGTAACCATTTTAGAATTTTTTTTTAGAGGCCAAAAAACTTGGCCAGGCTTTGGGGATAATTCTGTTGGAATCTTTTAGAAAATCTTAAAGGAAATTGCAACCATTTCCCTTCTGTGAGGTGCTAAAGTCTGTTGGTTGATTGATTAAGCAAGCTTCCTCTGATAGTGCTTTTGAGCAATAGGAAGTTTTCCCTTTTTATAGTACTGCAGATTAACCATCCGCTGCTTTTTCCCCTCAGCTGCTTTAGAGTGTCTGAAAGAATTATTACGTTGTGGAAAGAACCTATGACCCCTATTTGTATTAATTAAAAAAAAACATTTGATGGGAAAATTGGGATATTGCTGTATTAGCATTGGTATTTTTGTGGAAACTGAAGAGAAAAAAAGGGAAAAACTAAACACCCTAAATCCATAGAGGCTCTAGCTTTGTCCTAAAAAGTGAAGGTTAAAGATCTTTTGCCATTACTAAGTAAATGTTATCCACCCCTTCCTTGTATCAGCAGAAAATTTGATTATACTGGAGTTCTCAAACTGTGGCTTGCACAATTACACTTAAAGTGATTCACATATTTCTGGGTGAGTAGAAGAATTGAAACATGGGGGAGAAGTATACTCAGCATCTGCAGAGCTTTAATTCCTGGGAAGGCAAGATAGAAAGATGCAGCCAGCAGAAAGAAGTGATGCAGCCTGGCCACTATTCACCATTGAGGTTTTATTCAAGATGGAGGTGGAGATGAACATGAAGGTTGGAATCACTTGACCCGCTGAGACAAAAGCAAACCAATTATAGGAGAGCATTGTTTCTAGTGAATGCAGCTGGGGTAAAAACTGGTACTTCTAATGCGTCGAAAGATAGGTGGGAAGCAAAACACCTGCAAAGTTATGACTTCCAGAAAGGGAACGTGTACCATTCATATCAGAAAACCCAATCATAGGGCTTGAAGGGATCAGGCATCCTTCAGGGCACAAGGAAAGATTCCCATCCTTGAACAAGTCACCCCAATTTTATTATTTCTACTCTGATGCTCAGCTAGGGCAAATAATCCACATGGAAGATCCACCCCGTTGACTGAATGCCCTTCCCTTCCCGAGAACACAAGGTCCTTTATGCATTGTGGTAAATGCCTCTTCGGAGAAGGTGATGATACCCTTTTGCCTGAAGAGTACAAAAAGGGATTAAAGTATTCATTCCTTGACCCAGCTGTTTTGGGTAACTCTTAACCTGTCTCCAGCTTTGCTTCTGTAAGGAAAGTTGTTGAGAAGATGATGGGCCAGAGCTACGGAGAGTGTTAATTATATGGATTATTTTTAGTAAAGATTTAGCTTTGAGCATGGGGGAACATTGATCACATTTGAGGATGATTTGTGAGAGGACTTGGTTTGGGAATATGAGCTGCTTAAACTTGCTGGACATCTAAGCTGCCTTCAGTCCCATTAATAATATTGGTATCCTTCTGATCAATAAGTTTGATGCTTGATGCTGATTTTTTTCTCAGTGATTCTCTTCCTTTATGAGTGGGCAGTTCTAATAGGTAAGGATGGGGCCAGGTAAGGCCTAAACGGTTGGGAATCCCATTGCCGGGTTATTCGTATCATTTACACAATAACTACATTAAATGGGGGTGGGGGTGTTATCTTCATGAGATGAGGAATTGAGTGTATGTTGAAGATACTGAGTTACTTATCTTCAATCTAGGTTAAATAGGGTATCTCATCAAGGTTATGACCCAGTGCTAGATGCTGTTAGAATCTGAACGGGGAGAAATAGACTGTTTGTTGGTTTATTTCATTTCATTTCATTTCCTATCTTTAATATTAATCGTAGCAGAATGGAGTGTCTTTGATTAAGAAGCCTCCAGATTCCAGAGCAGGCTTATCAATGACATAAGATAGGTTTGCACTCCCCTGCAGAAAGCAGACATACCAGCTGAGCATCTGAGAGTTTTTCTGGATTTATGGGTTCTGTTGGAAAACCAGACAGAAGTCATACCTAGATGGGCCTTTCTCCTTTGTACAGCTCCAGTTTGTGCATCAGTTTGCCCTGCTGATTTTTTATTTTTTATTTTGAGCAAAAGCTGAAATGACTGCTGGTAAACTTTTGGGTGCAGTTCAAGCCATCTGTATGGCTTGGGACCTGATGTTTCTGAGATCACTTGTTCCATGTGGAATCTGCCCATTCATTAAGAACTGAGAGCATAATTTGAAGATGAGCCTTTTCAGTTATCCCCACCTCCTCACCCAGCT